CAGCCCTCAGTGGACTCATTCCTCAGGGTTCCAGAGAGAAGCTGGGCTATGATGTCCTGAAATCTGGCCAGCCTTGAGTCTCAGGGCCCCAGAAGTCTCCCTGTCATGTTGAACCTGAAATTTGATCCACAGGAGACAAGCTATTTCCTACAACCCAAGGCGGAAGAGACAGTGGAGACAGCAACACCACCATGTTATACAGCAGAGGTGCAGTTAAAAGCGAATAGGGACTCCCTTCTTTATTAGAGATGTCTCATGGCTGTTAGTGACAGGCTTTCACTTTCATATGCTCATATCTGTGCCCTCCCTTTCTTTCTCTTCTCTCACTGTCTGTCTTCCTTCCCTACAGCTTGTAGTCTGTCATTTCCTCTCACATTTCTGACATCCATGCTGTTCCTTTTGTGCCTGTACTGGATTTGGAAAGAAATCAGACTCCTTCACCACTATTTTTATTTTAAATATTACTTCATCACAATCAAACAACACACAATACCATATTATTGCTATCTTCAGACTTATCGTGGACCTCTACGTGGCTTTTTTGCTCTGGTATTGTACCTACTGTGAACTATGGGAACTTGTTCACAATGGTGTGTGCCTGTAAATCATGTCCAATCTACTGAATTGTTCGCAGGTGGCCATTAATCAAGTTCTGGACACATTTCAATGATGATCAAATAAAAGCTGATAATAAACAAAAAAATAATAATTCTCAGGTTTAAAACACAACTAGGGGTCTGAATAGTCTCCAAAAACTTACTTTATATCTCTGTCTCTCCTCTTTCTGTACACTCCTATCCTTCCATAAGTAGTACCTCTCAGAGGGAGGAGAGGGTGATTCCTGCAGTGCACTTCAGATAAGACACAGCAGGGAACTCCCTCTCCAACTGTCTCTCACTTAACATTCTGCTTTCCATAGGAAATAGCCCCCATTTATTCAAAAGCTGCAAAGCACTGTCAAGGCAAATATACAGGAATATGAGCCATGGCTAACCAATTGGATTTAGCGCTTTTGAAGGAATAGGTATGCAGTGGTACATAGTTTAGCAGCCAATGGTCTCTCCAGTCCTTGCTGGGCATTGTTTATTATCTGACTTCTTTATGGAGAAGTAATTGGACAGTCTTATAGGATAATAAAAATGGAAGGATTCACTGTCTAGCGTTTTGCGCCTGGTCACCCACATTGACTTGTAATCTGCGTCACAGAGGTCCAGTCAATGGCCTGATGGCGAGGCTATTAAAACCCAGTGGAAGGTATAAAAGGCCAACCTGGAGACTATATGTCTGAAGGCTCGTTGCTCTCTCAGCTCTACGGTGAGCTGAAAGGTTGTGGTGCTCAGTGTAGTGGTGGACTGCTGGAACGCAGAGAAATTCATCTTAAGAAGCTGATGATCCAAGGCAACTGTTTAAATAGGTTGCTTTATTGTTTTTCTCTTAGGACTGAAATGCACCACTTATGCCAATGGAGCATTCAATGACCTTGAAAGCTGGGGGGATAAAGGGAAAACAAGAAGATAAGAATGAATAAGGTGAATTGGTAATGGTTGGGATTTTGTTTGCAGGCATCAGAGCCTCCAGAGTCAACAGTAATAGCTGCCCAAAGATGAGTTTCACCTGCACACAGCCAAGCCTGCTAACCTCTGAAGTACCACACTGGCACACTGACACATACAGTGGAGAGTTGGTCATCTGTGCGTCTCAGCAAAGCTTTGAACTGTTGTTGCTTGAACTGCTTTGAACACTGTGGCACTGTCAAATCTTGCAGATCAAAACTGGTGTGTGTGTGTGTGTACTTATTCGAGTGTGTGACGTTATTTACTGAACCTTGTGGCATTTGACACTAGGCGGTGTTAATGAATCATTGTTTCACAGGCTGCTGTGTAGAGATAGATATAAACTGGCATCCTTTAGGGAAGGAAAATGATACATCATATCACACACTTTCTCCACACACATCCAGATCACATCCACACACACACTCTCTCCACACAAACTCACCTAATGCTCAACTGTCAAACTGCCTCCTTGACATCAAAGCAAAGTTGATAAAGCAGACACACATGCCAGTCACACATACAGGTATACAACTGTGCACACACAAACAAGCATAGCAAGCAGGAATATTTAATTAATTCACCTAGGGTTTGATTTTGTGTATGTTTTTCCATTTCATTTGTGCCTGCACTCCAGTGTCATGCTGCGGGCCGTGGGGTACCTTTACAGGTGTTTCCAGTTCTCTCGTAAGCAGACAACTTGACAAGCATAATAAATATGTCAGAGAAAAGCAGCTTAGATGTTTATTCAAATGCAGTTATTGTTGTGGGGGAGTGGATTAGTAACTATGTTCCCTTCATTCAGCAACTATCGACGAGGTCTGCTTCAGCTGCACTTTAAGTGCTGCAGTCGAGTTTCTCAGTGAGCAGTTAGCAAAATATGGGAAACTGACCGACTTAACAAAGAGTCTTCTAAGTCTAGTTCTTGCTTTGGCTTTTGCTCTTTTTTCCTGCAAGTGATGTTTTACTTTGACAATCTGAAGGGCATCCCACAGCACTAAACAAAACCCTCACTTAACTTAAGAACAGGTGTTTGAGGATTACCCGCCTAAGATCCAAACGGGCAGGAAAAATCCCGATATCCAGTAGCAATGTTGATTTTCAAATAATCTTATAGTGATCTAAAATATTATCTTTCACTACATCAGTCTCAGAAATTACCTGCAACCCTGTCTGCATACATAAGATGACACAATTCTGGTTCCAACTCCAAGGTTGAGAAACTGAGCCCTGTGATATCTGTTGCTCTCCTCGTCTGCCCCTACAGCTACACTACTTGGATCTCTCTACTCTGTCTTACTGTAATCTTGTCAGACAGACCAGTTTCCAGCACTGCTCGTGTGTGTAGAGACCAATATGGTAAGGAAGGGAAATTGAGGTAGTAGAACGGTAGAAGCAGAGAGACTGAGGAAGTGGATGTGCAACAGAAGACAGAAGCCTTACTTTGCTGCTATGTTGTTGTGTTTTACTCAGGTAATGGTTTAAGTCACACGCACAGACACACACATTTTGTTACATAAATTACAAACACATACAGACACTGTCTCAACCCACATGTTCATACTGTCCGAACAAACATTCACATGTTTAACCCAACCTTCACACACAGACACACACAGTTTTATAGACTCTGACACACTATGACAAAAGCAAAAGGTAGTATTTACACACAAACACACGCATATGCAAATACACCTCCACACTCCCCCTGAGACCAGTGCAGACAGACTGTGGGGTCAACTGCTCTCTTACTTTGTCACTTTAGCTTTGGCTCAGGGCCCAACTCGGTTCAACTCCATGACCTCCCCATGTGGTCGCACTCTCCCCCTGCAGTAAACAAGGCTGTGGACTGTGCGTGTGTGTGTGTGTGTGTGTGCGCGCCCGCAGGAGAGTCTGTGAGTGACAAAGAGAGGTAGAGAATAGTGGCCTTGTGCAAGTGTTTCTTTCCAGTAATATTACCTAGAATACCTCCCGTACTCCCCTCACAATTCTCATTTCTTATTAATTATGTGTGCGTGGCTGTTTTGAGATAAAATTCCAATTAATGAGGATGTTCCTCAAACTTAGAGACAAGCTGCTCTACAATACCTGGGGACTTTATATGGCCACCTCTTTTTTCCTCTTGCCAGGTTTCGACACTGACCATGACACAGGCAAACAGTGCTCTGATATGGCCTTGTGCAGCCTTTTTGCCCAGTTGACATTTCTTAACTCCTTGCTCTTAGATACCCAAGGCAATTTTGGGGGGCAACACAGATAGGCAAGGATTATATTTACAGACAGCAGGATACAACAATAGGACATCCCAATACCATTGAAGTTGCACTAATGTGAGAATAAAATATGTTTTATCAGAGGAAGTCACAAAGTGAGGCAGACAACACCAGACAGGAGTGTTTAATTCTGCCTAACTGAGATGCCATAAATGTGTAATGTGTGTCCAAATTAAACTGCCAGCTGGGCATGGTCACTCTTCTGAAACCATCTCCATGCACAGGAAGAGATTACAGAAGTTCAGCTCAAAATGAAAATTTAGTCATTATCTTTTCACCCCCTTATCAGTTGAGGATTGACGTTTGTAGGACCACCACACGGTGAGGAAATGTTAATGATACTGTCTTTTTAGAGCTGGAAAACAAATGTAAAGTCTCCTCGAAGGGGTTTAAAGTAAAAGAGTTGCTAGGTGGCTTCAAAATTTGTCTCATTGCTGCTCTGACGCAAAGCCCAGCTCGATACCGTAGTCTTACAAGCCTCTAGATGTGTGGGTGTGAGTGAATGATGACTGAATTGTCATTTTGTGGGAAAATATTGCTTTAAGGGAGAAGGAGTGAGCACGTACCCAGAAGCATTTGGATTCATTCACCTGTTTTGTTTTTCTTTCTCCTCTTTTGTCCACTTGGTTTCCAGTATGGTAAATGGTAAGAACACACTGTGTATGCTCTACCATTTGCCATTTGGAGCCACTGAAGAATTGCTCAGTGTAGCCCTTTGCCGACAAACCAATCACGAGTGATCGAAGCAGCCATGTTAACTATGCAAGCAAGAATTGCTCTTTTTTATCTAGTTTGACCAAGAATGCATTGTTATTTGCAGTTATGATTTGGGGGAGTAGCTGCAGGGAAAGAATATGCATATTCACAGTCACAACTAGGACATTGTGTTCCAAAAACTATGACTAAATTAAATTGTCTTCTGTGGCTATGTAGTTAGATAAGGCTTCTGTGTAAACCACAAAAAGGTCATATATTTAGTCTCTCCTTTTCGCAGTAGTATATTATTCATCATGAACATTTCTGACTGTAATAATGACAAAAATATTCTGCTACCTTGTAAATCAGGACATGTTCTTGGATCATGTCTGTCCCGCTGTTTGCCTGTACTCCATGCCAACACTGTGTGTGTGTGTGTGTGTGTGTGTGTGTGTATGCTTGAATGTGTCTCTCTCAGGACACACCGGTGGGCAGATCAGTGTTCATGGTGAATGCCACAGATCCAGACCAGGGCACTGGAGGCAGCGTTCTCTTCTCCTTCCAGCCGCCATCTCCCTTCTTCTCCATCGACGGGGCCCGAGGCATCGTCACAGTCATCAAAGCCCTGGACTACGAAACAACCTCAGCATACCAGCTTACTGTCAACGCCACGGTCAGCACACATAAAACAGAAATTTCCGTTCAACATTAGCACAGACCCAATGCTTTCAGTCAAATTAAGGCAAATGCACGTATTGAACTTTTGTTTCTGTATCTATCAGGATCAAGACAAAACAAGACCTCTGTCCCGGCTTTCCAACTTAGCTATCTCCATCACTGATGTCCAGGACATGGACCCTATTTTCACCAATCTGCCCTACAGTACTAACATAGAGGAGGACGTTCCCCTGGTCAGTATTAGAATGAAGCTTTTATGTGAAACCCTGTAATCTGTCCATTTCTTACCCTCCCATCCATCTCTGTTGCCAACATGTTCCACTTATCTTTCACCTCATTGCTCATCCCCAGCTCCTCCTGTCGTGTGTTCATACTCCTCTTTGATTATTAAAAGAGAAGCCCGCACACACCCAAACTCAGTCCCGGGCCCCTACGTACAGCACTGCAGGTGTTGGAGACTGTAATTACTGCTGGAGATTTACAATCCTGCTTCAGGGATGGGAGGCCTCAAGCAAAGGTCACTGGGGCTATAGGATTTATCTCACAATGCTACTTCATGTGCTCTGTGTTTGTGAAGTATTAAGCAGTGGAGTCTCACCATGACCGTACCTTTGTCTTTATTGCAAGTAGGTTTGTAATGGGTATCTAATACACTGAGTGTCTGTTTCCCTGTACGCTATTATGTTCATTCCCCTGACTCATCCCTCTAAACTCAGGTTCCCAGGTGGCTAATGGTCCAGCTATTGACGTTTCCACTCGTAGAGATGGAATTACACACAGGGGCATAATACTGTCCGTCCTTCTTTCTATTCTTCCTCTCCCCTGATTCATCCAGCCCAGCCTTCCCCCACTCGAACTCCCACCCAGCTCATACCTCGTCCCAGGCCTGCTCGTGCTGTAGTAGAAATGTCAAGTGCAACATTTGCATGCATATTAACGGGGCGTGACGGAGTCGACGCCTGGTGTCTCCCTGACTCTCTGATTCATCAACTGTCACAAGGAAGGTCACAACAGGAGGAAGAGGAGGGGGGGGGGGGGGGGGGGGGGGGGGTAGAAAGAGAAGGGGATGTTGGGGTGAAATGGAACAAGGTGACAGGAGGGAGGAAAAAGTTAGAGAACGGAATAAAGAGGAGAGAGTTAAAAAGAGCGGATCACAAAGTTGACATTGGTGAGTGGATACCAGATTTCTCACAGCAGCTGAGCAACGTTAAGCCTCAGTAATACTGCCTAGGAGTGATGTAGCTCTTACCACTAACAGTAGGGGGCAGTGTATAATCCTCTTACTGTGACTCTGTAGGAGGAGGTCAAAAAAGGCGTGTAACCAAAATCTGTAATCGAGCCCCTTTGACCCCACAATAGACACAGAAAGGATAACGACAGTGAGACACCGCAATACAGGCCAACAGTGCCACTGTGCTTGTACGCACACAGACTTCTGACTCCCTCGTGCTATTTTAACAGGCATGTGTCATTTCCATTAGGCAGTGTTGGGTGGTGATAAGCCGTGGGCGTACAGTGACGGAACGAGTGTCAACTGTTCTCAAGGCCCATGACATTTACACGTAAAGGGATATCAAACTTGGATCCCTGTCATAGGTCATTTCTCAAAGGTGTGAGTGTGCACACATTCACACACATACAAAAATGCCCCCTATTTCTGCCTCTGTCTCTCTCAGTCCCTGTTTGTTTCTCTGTGTCTGTCTTTCTCTTTTTCTCCAGCCAATCAACCCGTCATCCATAGAAAACTTTGACAAAGGAGTAGAAGAAAATATTTTTTCCCCCCCCAGATGAAATCACAGGGCAGGGTTTTCAGCTGTTATAGCTGTGAATCCATGCTGTGAGGACTGACGTTTAAGCCCCCTCTAGGACAAACACAATTTGGCTGTCAAATCAATGAGGAGAAAGAGAGAAAAGAAGAATGTGTTGCGGGGTAATGCACTGTATAGCTAGAAATGAAGGGATGAATAGTTGGGTTGGCTTCAGTTTTGGGAGATGTACTGGTATATATGTGTGTGTGTGTGTGTGTGTGTGTGTGTTTGCAGGAGTGGGGGATTGTATCTTTAACGGTTGATTGAACATATTCCACTTGTGTGGACAGCTCAAGAATATTGCTCATATTACTTCAGCATCACTTCTCCTAACTTGCTTTCTCTGTCCCCTATTTCTCTCTTAGTATGTCCCTAAATCTTTCGTGCGTGTGTGTGTGTTTCCCTCCCAGCTGGTGATTGGTGTGAATCAGTTGCTCTAAAAGGCTTGTAATTGATTCTGCTGTAATTGGTCAATGACAGGAGATGCTTTGGCAGAAATGGAGCATAAACACGCCTTAGACACAATTTGCAGGATCAATGGGAGGCAGCTTGCTTGGGTGTGAGTGAGAGAGCTGGGGAGGGGGGGGGGGGGCAAAGGAGAGTGGGAGGAGGAGGAGAGAGGGAAGTAAATTGGGAAGTAGGGAGGGTCTCTCCATCTCTCACTGCAGCACAGTGGCTTCTAACTATCGCCACCGTGTCTGATTGAGGCACGAAGGCTGAGAAAGCTCAGTGGATCAAAGACTTTTCAAACAGCTTTCTCCCTCTCTTTCTGTTCCTATTTTTTTTTAACTGTCACACTGTGGTTTTGTTGAGGTGCAGACTCATTGGCACCGCCGGAGAGTTTTGAAACAATAAAAGGAGAAATAAACCTTAATGACATACTGATAACAGAGTCCTTAATAAAAAAACAAATAGTGTATGATTTTCCTGCTATGACGTTGTTTGCCATTTTGTTAAGGTTTTACTGTTTTTTTTCCTTTCCAGTGTTGAAATGCAGTGCTCCTATGTTTCAAAATTTGGTGGGGGTGTGTTTGTGGTCATGGTCTTCACTGGATAATGGGTATCTGAGTAGGAAAAATTATGTCCTCAAGTTGATGCTCCAGATCCAGATTTCACTGATTCATTGCAACACAATATGATAAAGTACACTAGCATAATTCGGTAGCATAGGACAAAAACCATAAAACAGGAATCTGATTATTTCAGTTGCCAATAGCGGTTTACTGTGGCTCTAGGTTTCTTGTCATTGGTAACACGTTAAAGGGAAAATTACTGTAGAAATGCAGCTGTGATTATAGCATACAGCTTATACCGTATATTTTGTTTGTGTCTCTGCAGGGATATGAAGTGCGGAAGATAACAGCCATTGACCAGGATCTCGGCCGACCAAGAGGCATCGGCTACACCATCATCTCAGGTCTGAGTCACATAATCAATCTGACATCCCCAGCACAGAGAGGGGAATCGATCACTTCTTATCATAATCCCACAGCAATAATAGACAAGTCTCATCAAGCACAACAGTCAATAACAGCAGAGAGCAGTACCTCAGAATTGAAGAAAAGGCTTGTCCGTAAGCAGTTAATAATCACTGTTGGGTGCCGTTGTGCAGAAATCAGCCTTCATTTAGCGTTATCATTCACAAGTTGGCTTGTGCCATAAAAACAGGATTATGGTTAGTCAGAGTGACACATTTTACATCAGCAGAAGAAGGTGATCTCATGGATTTCTGTTGTTGCCTACTTGTGTTGTTTCGATTGTTTTATTAGATTTGTCACACACGCGGTCTGAGTAAAATGCCCTGAGATAAAGTGTCAGTGCAAATGACCGCCATATTGGACCTCCTCCTAAAATCCATAACTTGTGTTGGTGTTACCTGATCATTTTAATTTAAAGAAGGAGAGAGGAAGCTACAGTTTGCACAGTGCTGATAAGGCTGTAGAAGTGATCCTGCTTTAATACTCCTGTACTGAGTTTTCTCACCTCTGCCAAGGATGGGATGTTTGTGCTTGCCAGTTACTTTGTCTGTCTGTCTGCCAGGAGGATATCTCAAAAATTCATGAACAGATTTCCATGAAACTTGGTGGACAGAGTTACCTTGGGGCAAGGAGCTCTGAGTTAGATTGGTGTTGATTCATATCTAGGATTGTCGCTACTAGACAGGTATCTTGTTATTTAGCCATATCTATGTAATTACATGAAAATACAGAACTGATTCCAAATGCCTTTGGTAAGTTTGCAGGATGAAGAAATCTTTTTAATGAATTTAAATTATGTTTTGGGGAATAACAGCAGGTGTAAAAAGTGTTGGTGGAGGTATGTTTTATGCATAGTTGTTTGTCCCTGCTGGACCTTAATGTTTACACACAACCACACTGATTTACTCTAGACGTTTGAGTAATGTGACTTGATGAAGGTTTCGCGTGTTTGCTTAATGACACTTTAGTGATTCCTCATTAACTTCTCCCTCTGAGATGCTCCCAGGTCTGGGAATTTGAACTGAAATTCTTCAAGTACACTCCACTGCACTGACCATGGCCACTATTTTAGCACCTAATTTGCAGTCCTGTGGAACTTTTGTGGAGTTTGTGTTGATCTTACATGAATAGATGAATGCAGCTAAGTGAAGTGAGTAACACTATAATGGGGCGAAGCAACATAATCAAAAAGAGACAAATTGCCGATGTAAAAGGACACACTGAGTTTACATGCACTCTGGGGTTGTGAGCTACTGCTCAAAAAATAAATAAGGGAACCCTTATTAAATCATAGGTCAAATTTCAATGAACATAATAGTTCAAAGTTCAAAGACTTTACTGTACATTGTATAATTTGTTGAGATCACAATGACTTAACAACAGCTGATGGAAACCAAAATCAATATCCGACTGAGGGCTGGATTGAAAACCAAAGTAAAGTGAAATCACAGGCTGATCCAACTTGCGTGACTTTCATCACGGCAACTCATAATGTACCTGTAGTGTGTATGGCCCCCACGTGCCTGTATGCACTCATGACAACGTCTGGGCATGCTCCTGATGAGACCGCAGACAGCGTCCTGGGGGTTCTCCTCCCAGTCCCGGATCAGGGCATTGGTGGGATCCCACCAGACGACCTCATGCCACCCTCATGGAGTCTGTTTCTGACAGTTTTCTCAGAAACTTGCACACCAGTAGCCTGCTCAAGGTCATTTTGTAGGGCTCTGACATTGCTCCTTATGTTCCTGAGTTGCTGGGTTGATGCCCTTCTACGTCCCTGTCCAGCTCTCATTGTGTAAGGGCTGATCTCCTGGTATCTTATCCATGCTCTTGAGCCTGTGCTGGGAGACACAGAAAACCTTCTTTCACCAGCACATGTGTATGTGCCATCCTAGAGGAGCTGGACTACCTGTACAACTTGAATGGGCTGCAGGGCTCGCCTCATGCTACCAGTAGTGACAATGACACCAGCAAAATGCAAATCTTAAGAACAATCAGTCAGGAAGGATAAAGAGAGAGCAATTGTCTTTGGCTACGTACTGCAAAACCATTCCTTTTTTGGGGATTGTCTTGCTCCAGTGCACCTGTTGTCACTTTCATTTGCACCAAAACACTGATTCCCAATCGCTTCCTAACTGAACAGATTGATATCCCTGAAGATTAGTTGACTTGACAGTGATGATTAAGTGTTCCCTAATTTTTTAAATGTTTGATTAAGTCAATACTCAGATTAATGCAATTGTCATGTTTACACCATAACCAGGTTACTCACAATAAGTTTGTAATGGCAATTTGTATGACAATCAATCTTCTACATTACTCCTGCTGCAGCATCTATGTAGCACCATCTGATATCTTTTTGTGCTATAGTTGAGCACACAAAGGTCAGAAGGAAGTGTAGTAGCAACTTCTTTCGCCACTATCGCAGGACATAAAGTTTCTGACTTGTGCTTTCCAAAGAGGGCAAGACTGTACAATCCAGCGAGGCAAGGAGGCAGATGTAAGAAGAAAAATATCTGACGTTATTTGACACAAAAAAAAGGACTAAAGTTACAAAATAAACGTCTCCAGCAGAGTCCTAAATCCTATGTGTTCTGTCAAACGTACTTACACACAGGTAACTTCTAAATTTCCAATTGCTATGATGCGACAGTCAGAAAACTGTTGCTCCATGTCTTGCTTGGCTGCCTCTTTCTTTACCGCAGCACGTGCCAATAGGTGCTCTCACCTCATTTTTACTACACTTAGCTGCACTTTACGGCACTTGAATATCTCTGACTTAACAGGACAAACTAATGGAGCACAACTACACATGTTAATTTGCTAAATATACAGTAATGACATCTGTCTGAGACAAACATAAAATACTACCAAATGAAACATGTAAAGGAAAATTAATATAACTGATGAACATGAAATAATCCAAAAGATTGACCACGTTTTCTTAATGGCTCTAACAGGAAGTAAATCCTTAAATTTTCTGTCTTTTTTTTTGTGGTGCTTATATTTTATCTTTATGACTACCACACATCCTTCTTGTTGTTAACCTGACTGTAAACTTCCATCAATAATTTGGAAAATTATTTTATTTAATCTGGGCATTTGCAGAGTTTAGTGTGGGCATTAAAGCCTCTGAACCTCTGAACGTGACCTTAGCATATTTATTATTATAGTATTATAGGTAAAAAAAAGTAAGATGCAGCCCTCTTTTTACCTTACCACTCTTAGTAAACTCTATATTCCTATTAAGATAAAACACACAAACACTTTTGACTCCGTGGTCCATGCGCTGATGTAATACAGCTTTAATACCCCCGTAGGCTGTTTATTTTCACCACAATCAACGTTTTGATCCTGAAGGACGAACAATCCCTATAAGATCATTCAGGTCTGCAACATAGATCTGTTGGGAAAATAAACACCAGTTGGTAGGATTACAGTCGTGAGTGGACTGTATCCTTTAAACTCTGCATGCCCCCTACCGAGACAGAATGGTCAGAATGGAAAGACACCGGTGCCTCCTGAAATTGCCAGCTGGCTGATAAGGGCTGGCCCTGCTTGATAAGCCTGGCACACCATGGGAATTTTGGGTGACGAAGATATTCATTGTTCTGCCATCTGCTGAGTCACTGCCTGACCTCACAGCTGAACGAAGAAACATGACCCCATGTGCAAGTGCACGCATGTGAGCACGTGCGCAGTCATGTAATATTTGTGTGTGTTTTTGTGCATGTGTGCACAGTCCACAACCCAGAACACTTCTGCACGGAACTCACCGCAAACACTCTGCTCCCATTCAGCGCACACACCTACTCAGTCTTACTTACCGTCTGCCGCCACATGTTGTATTGTTGTGTGTGTTGTGTTTGCTGCAAAGTTGAAGGGCTGAGTTAAGCTCTAGAGGAGAAGAGCATTAAAAAGACATTAATTAGGTGGTGCGATGTATTCCCAGTCGTTGCAAAATCAAGAGTTATAGCACCGCACTAAGCCCTTATGGAGATCGAGCCTGTGGGCTTGATAAAATCATTATAAGTTTGATAGATAATGGAAGTTGAAGGGTGATGCAGTGCCAGGAGATAAAGGTGGGAGGGTAAGGTTGTCAGATGATACATTTTCTAAGCGCGTGCACGTGTGTGTGTGTGTTTTGTGTGCTTGTCCATGTGTACTAACCCATATGTCTCTATCCACACTCACGTGCCCTGCTGCAGTCAGATAAGTGTGAGGGCGTGCTTGTTTTTAGACTTAAGTGTGACTCTGCACAACGCCTCCCTTGCCTTCTCGCTTCTCACCCCGAGTGTCCTCAGAGAGTGCGGCTCACTCCTGCGGGACTCGTCTCATTAGTTCAGTAATTAAGATAAACGAGGTTTTAATTGCAGCTGTGATTTATGCTAATGATTGTGGGACTGGAGATGAGGATTTCCTCTCCCTCCTCCAATCAGAGGGCAGATCTGGGATTTGATGTGTACAAGAGATAGCATCACTGCAGCGCAGTTGCAATGTTGCAGTTGTTATTGTTTGTTATGATGGTGGAGAGGGTGGGGCAGTTCTGATCTGTAAATCCCTGGTCCACAGGGTATGATGTATCCGTTATTGGACCTCTCACCTGCTGGTCTCATCATATATCAAAAGATCTAACCATAGCCGACTACTGATCAGAGCTTTCTGGAGCCTTTTTGCTACTCAAAATTGTATTTTCTGACCTAAAATGCTCCAACAATAACAAATACTCCCACCGTTCACAATGAAAATAAGGATTTTATTACATGTCCATAGTGGTTCTTGCTTGACAAAAACGTGCACTGGAGTGGTGATATGACCTAATTCATCATTGTAGATGCTGTTATAATTGCTTCTTATATTTTCTTTTTTTAAATGTGAAACAGTGACATCCAAATGTGCATTTAATACTTAATGATGTGGAACCCTGCATGTCTCAATT